AGTCCCCGGCTGTGGTCTGGCTATGTCACTGGGCAATAAACATGCCCTGACTAGGATGCAAAGGTCCCCGAGAAAGCAAGGAAACCATTAAGAAGTAGCATTACCATGAATAACCGACAGACCAAGATTTCCAGACAACAGGCAGGTGGCACACATGAGATTAAACTCACTGAAGAAAAAATTAATGAGAGACCCGGTATTACGAACGTCCTGCAGTATGGTGATGAAGAAATATCTGGCCAAAGTATATGCTGAAATAATTCGCCAGGACGATGTGGAAGGTCAGTGTGAGGTTGGTACATCCCACCTCATGCACTATATCACCCCAGGAAGCCTGGTAAGGTACGAGTAGTGTTCGACTGCCAAGCCACTCACAAAGAAACATCACTCAATAAGCAATTGTTGCCAGGACCGGATCTAACGGATAGCTTAGTTGGAGTACTATTTCGCTTCAGAATGAATCCGATAGCTGTCGCTTCCGATATTGAGGCTACGTTCCACCAAGTCGAAGTTACCCCTGAGGATCGAAACTGTTTGAGATTTCTACGGTGGGACGACGGGGACATGTCTATCTCACCTTGCTCATACCGGATGACCATTCACCCCTTTGGCGTCACGTCTTCTCCCAGTTGTGTGAATCTCGCGCTTCGTCAAGCCATTGCTGATAATGCAGAAAGGTTCCCGAAACATCTGATCAACCTAGCTAGCGAGTGCTCTTATGTCGAAGACTGCTTGTTCAGTGTGGATACTGAGGAAGAAGCCATAGGTTTGATTGATAACTTGAAGACTATCACTTATTCAGATGGGTTCCGTTTGGTGAAGTGGATTAGTAATGAAGAGTGTGTCCTGAAACCCTTACCTCCAGAAGAACTAAGGTCTCCAAAATCACAGCATATAATTCAGTACGGTTGCTTGGAAAGTGCACTTGATGTGGTGTGGAATATCACCAAAGACCGCATACAATTCGACTTGAAGGAATTCGAAGGCAGCCCCACTCGAAGAAAGATATTATCCTTCGCGGCCTCCATCTACGACCCTTTGGGTATCCTAGCACCAGTTTTACTTAATCCAAAGCTGCTACTGCAGAAACTTGTCAGACAGAAATTGGAATGGGACGGACAGCTATCTGAAGAAGAAAATAATAGCTGGAACCGATGGCTACAGGAGCAAAAGGAGTTAAGCCGTGCATCTATACCTCGTTGTTTAACACCTAAGGGATTGCGAAGGGTTGCTCTCCAACTATACTGCTTCTCAGGTTCCTCAGAAGCAGCATACGGGCGGCCGTGTACATGTGATGTGTGGGTGAGAATGAAAGTCATATGCCTCCTAGTTCTCGGAAAGACCAGAGTCACTCCTATACGGACTGTGTCTATTCCTCGTTTGGAGCTCACTGCCGCTGCCTTATTGACGCGACTTGCCACGCAATTAGTCGAGAAAATGCATTTGGAACGCCCAGTGATCTTTTGGACCGACTCCATGATAGTTTTGCAGCTTCTAAGGTGCTTGACGCGATCTTCTCCGAGTATCCATGATCCACCAGTGTTCACGTCCTGATCAGTGGCGTTGTGTGATGTTGAAGCAGAACCCCGCTGACCTAGCTTCCCGAGGATTGTGCATAAATTCTGAGAAGGACCAACACCGATGGACCGACGGACCCGCCTTCCTGGTGCTCCCAGAGTCACTGTAGTCTCAGGCACCTGCAAGCTTCGGCGAGCTTCCGGACGAGTGTACAACACGGGAATTCCATCAGGTTATGCAGACAGTCTCAGAAAGAGGCTGGTTACAAAGTTTCGAATGTTGCCCCACCTGGATATCCTTACAAAGAAGAAGAGCCATGTTAATCAGATTCAAGATGTATTGCATTTTACGGTTTCTCCACAAGCTGATAGGAGATGTGTCGGGCAACATAAGTGCGGCGGATATTCGGAATTCAACCACCATCCTCATTCGACTGTTACAACGAGAGGTATTTCCTGAGGAAGTTTCCATACTCGAGAGTGAAAGTGTAACGAAGGCCAGGAGACACATGAAGCTGAAGTTGTAGCTCCCGAATAGATCAACGAGTAACGCGTAGCCGAAGTCGAATCCAAAAGCGTCAAAGAAACGAACGATCCAGCAAGTTTCTACTTGACTGCATTAATAAGCGATCAAATAAGCAGATAAAAACTGAACAAACCTCAAGTTGATCTCGAAACAACTTGAAAACAAGAGCCAAGTGTTACTGTGAGCGTAATTCAACATATCTGAATGGAAGAAAATTAGCCTGGGTAAGAATAGCACGCTCACCGTTACGCTGCACATGAACGAGCCAAATGTGAGCGCTCAAGTCGTGATTAAAACAAGTAGGGTAAAAATTGAAGCAGATAAACAAACAAAGTCAAATGGTAGGATTGATGTGTAAATATACAAGGGGAGTGGAACATCAAATGTNTATATGTGTATGAGGCGGATGGTGTTTGGTGAATGGAACGTAAAATTCACGAAATGTGGAACCGAGATTGGATGACTGGGCTTTACAGGAAGGATTTTCACAGATCAATCAATACAGAATTTAAGCCGTATACGAAAATTAGCTCCGTTTCTAAACGATGGAATTATTAGAGTCGGTGGTCGACTGACATACCTATTCCATGTAGTGTGAAACACCCGATCTTGATGCCAAGTAAACATTACGTGACACGTCTGTTAATATTTCACTATCACATAATGAACGGTCACATAGGAGTTCAACATACCTTGGCTGAAATTCAAAGGAGGTACTGGATAATCGGTGGAATTAGAGCCGTCAAAAAAGTATTGAACCGCTGCGCTTCGTGTCGTATTCGCAATGCTCGGCCCATGCAACAACTGATGGCACCAGTTATTCCGGATCGGTATGCTGTCTACCAATAGGCGTTCAGCACCGTAGGTGTCGACTACTTTGGACCAATCATAGTTGGGCGTGGGCGTGTACGTGAACGCGGGTACGGCTGTCTGTTCACTTGCTTGACAACAAGTGCAGTACACATTGAAGTGTCCCCATCACTGGATACGGACTCCTTCCTATGTGCGTTCACACGGTTGCTACCAGGCGTGGTTAGCCGTCGAAGGTGTACAGTGACAACGGCCGAAACTCTCACGGAGCAGAGACTGAACTGAAATCTCTACTGAAAGGACTGAATCAGCAGACGCTTACCGGAAGAGCTAGCAACAAGGAGTGTGACTAGATGTTCAATTCACCATGTGCAAGTCATCGTGGGGGCTAGTGGGAACGGCTGATTAGGTCTATTTGAGCGTTTTCAGGTGGTATACTGAATAATCAGGT